CGCTGTGGTTCCTCTGATACTCGATGGGTGATGTCAAGGCTGTAAAACATGCAAGACAGTAGAAAGGCATCAGGGAGGGCATTGAGAGAAGTTCCATCATGGGGCAAAGGAGGAGGAACACGGTGTGATCCAGAGGGAGTGCTGGGCTGACCCCCAGCCGCAGGTCATTGTCATGGCCGTCCTGCCCTCCAAGCACTGGCCATCCTGGAGGCAGCAGAGGACACCCCCCAACCCCAGACCCCGTACAGGAAAAGGTCTCAGTGCTGTCCATGAACAAGGTCAATGGACTCGATGGAGGGGCGGGCATGCTGAGTGGCTGGGGCAGGAGCCCAGGAGCAGGAGGGCAGAGTGAATGAGGACCTGGGTGCGGGGGACCCGCTGCCCGGGGGCAGCAAGCAGAGCCTGGGCCTCCCTGCCAAGAGGAAAGGAGTCATTGGCCAGAGGATCCCGGGCAAACTGCCAGTGTCAGCAGGAGCCTCGTGCTGCCAGGGGAGCCGCGCCTGGGGCTCCCCAGCACCAGCTGCTCCCACAGGGGAGGGGGTTAGGCCAGCTGCCGCCTGGGACCTGCGGGGAGCGGAGTCCCTTGGTCACCAGGAGGAGGCGGGAATGGACACCTCTGTGCTGCAGATCAGACATGAGAGACAAGGGATGGAAACGAGCTCCGCGCACTCCCTTCTGGGCCAGGAAGCTGTCTTGTCTCCCAGCTACAGGGATTTTGTTTGTTCCTAATCATCTGCAGGAAACTCAGGAGACACTAACACACACTCATAAAGTGTAAAACCTTTGAGAAGTACAACCACCACAGATAGGCCCCTCCGGCCCGGGAGGCACAGGCATGTGTGAAAAGCACTCTGGAGCCACATGACATTTCACAAACTCCGTGTCGGCTATGCATTTGCTCAGGTCAGGGTGAAACGCTTTTCTGCATGCACAAGGAGTCGTCGACCCTGACCCTACACATCCGATTCTAACTGCAATGTAAAAGGTGCCTGGCCACAATCTGGACAGGAGCTTGGAGTTAACACCCAGGCAGCTCATTACCATGTGGCCCAAAGCGCCGCGCCCTTGGCTTCTCCCTGAGTGCCTGTGTCCTGGCTCTTGAAGGTCATGCAAGGTGTGAAGGGGGTGTGGTGGCAACAGAGAAATTACAGCGTCCTATCGGACTGGGGCACGGACACTGACCATGAACATGGAGGAAAAGACAAAGAAAAGACATTAAATATTCAGCTTTGACTGAATCCCTGAAGGTCTTCCGTGATCCCCGAATTAAAAGAAGAGACAAAGAGAAGCAAGCTGTTTCAGGTCACGGACATGGTCAGTGCTTATCTCCAACGGAAGGGCAGTTGCTCCCCTGTAATCACTCACTCATATCATGGAAACTGGAAGGGCAAAAAATGTCTTGTTTTTTAATGGAGGAGAGAGGTGCAACGCAATCGAACACAATTGTTAAAGTTGCCCTGGAGAAAGCCCTCAATTCCACGTGCTGCCTCGGTTCCCCTCACACATTCCCGTCCCAGGACAGGGCTCTGGTACACATACAGTGGAGAACAGGTGGGACAGGAGGGAACAGAACAGCAGTGAAGGGCACGTGCCTGAGAGCCAGTCTGCTCAGAATCCTGATTCTGCCACCAACAATTTGGGGGACTTTGGGTAAATTACTGTTCCATTCCCTGCCTCAATTTCCTCATTGGTAAAATGGGAATAGGAGTACTTGGCACACAGAGTGGCTTTGAAGAAGGAATGAAGCAATATATGGACGGTGCTGAGGACAGTGTCTGACCCACAGCGAGGGCCACACTAGTCCTGTCATTACCATTCGTATGTGGCAGGAGAGAGGAGAGAAACAGGAGTGTGCACATTAGAGAAAGAAAACATGCCAGAAATAGAGCACACATTACCATTTAAAAAATTGCGCTGGTTTTCTAAAATCTGGTTGATTTCATGGATCCACGTCTGCCGGACACTTGGACTGGATGAATGCAAAACGAAGGTCTCCACCACATCGCCCGTCCTCGATGTCAGAGCAAATTTACAGGGGTCGTTTTCCACACTTTCCTCCAGGCAAAGGCAACTCACCTGAAAAGTGTTAAAGCGTTATCCCCAACAGCCAACAGGTGGAAGCAACCCAAGTGCCCATCACAGATGAATGTTGATGAACACGGTGTGGCCCATCCACACAATGGAACGTTAGTCAGCCTTAAAAAGCAAGGCCGTGCTAAAGGCCATGCTGACGCGTGCCACCACGCGGGTGAACCCGGAGGACACTGTGCTCAGTGAAAGCAGCCAGATAGAGACGAACACCGCTACGATTCCGTTAGACCAGGTCCCTGGAGTTGTGAAATCCGAAGACAGACAGTAGGAGAGAAGCTGCCTGGGTCGGGGGAGATGGAACGGGAGTTAGTGTTTCATGAGTGTGGTGGTGGTGGCTGCACAATGTGGGAATGTGCTGGATGCCACTGAGCTATACACTTCAACATGGCTACGATGGTACGTTTTTGTTACGTGTATTTTACAATAAAAAAAAAAAAGCACATTTATTCTTACTGGCCTGGTGCAAAGTAAAATGGAAACAACCACACTTTGGTGCCTTACCAGGAGTTCAACTAGTAGTTTCAACAATGAACCAGAAGTGTAGGCCTGGGGTTACCTGTGTTCAAAACTCCTGTACATTGACCCAGTGTTTATCATTTCCCCAGGAAGAAAATGACACCATTGAAAAACCTTGATCAATATAATACATGCTATAAAGTTATGTGTGACATGGCAGGTAAATATGTAAAACAATTTTCCTGAAGCAGACTATGTAAATTAGCATATAAAGAGAATTTCTATGGTGACGGAGTCATTTTCTGCCAAGAGACTTATGGAAAGAAAGGGTGAGAGGTGCAGGTGGTGGGCGGGTGGACAATGATGGCCATGGAGGGGCCTCAGGCCGGTGGGAGGGGCGGGAGGGGGTGTGAGACAGGAGAGGGCCTGCAGCCCAGCTTCATGCTGCCAGCTCTAATGCCTCCTCTAATGCCTTCCCGTTGCATGGACAGAAGACCTTCCCCAGCCTGAAGGGAAGGACACAGGGGGGCTGGAGGCCGACAGACGCCTCCCTGGAGAGCTGGAGGAAGAGGGTGTGGTGTCCCAGTTGTGTGCTGAGGCTTCAGAGGGTCTAAAGCAGGGGTCCTCAAACTACGGCCCGCGGGTCACACGCAAGTACAAATATTGTATTTGTTCCCGTTTTGTTTTTTTACTTCAAAATAAGATATGTGCAGTGTGCATAGGAATTTGTTCATAGTTTTTTTTAAAACTATAGTCCGGCCCTCCAACGGTCTGAGGGACAGTGAACTGGCCCCCTGTTTAAAAAGTTTGAGGACCCCTGGTCTAAAGGTTCCCTGTCCCTAAGAGGGACCCTGTCAGTTTGGGGCAGTAGCCCCTAACATAAGGACGAATATCTGCCTTCTGACCTCAGGACCCCCACAGCTGCAGAGGCAAAAAGAACTGGGGGTGCATTGGGGGTGGTGTCTGGCTGTATTTCCCATCTGCTGGGACCCCAGGCCTCCTCCTCTGCTTTTCTCTATCTCAGCCTCAGTTCCTTGGTTTGCCCCCTGTATAGGACTCAGGGCCATTAGCAGTTCTTTTGTCTTTCTCTACTATCAGGGGGCAAGCCGCCCCAGAGCACAGGCTGCCCTGCAGGCCAGCTGAGCACGGAGCACAGAGCGCTTGCTGAGTGCAAGAAAGAGCGGCACAGGGTCATCCCTCTGCTCTGGTCAAAGAGCCACATCCCAAGCCTGCCTCTGAGTTCACAGAAGCTGTACATGCTCCTAGAGCAGGTGCAGTACAGAACCCGCCACGGAAGGAGCCAGCCCGTCGAGCGACGGGCACGGGCGGGCACACGAGGAAGCGTGCCGGCACCGTACCTTGATGCTGTTCTTGAACAGGAAGCCCGGAGTGGAGAAGCCCTTCTTCTTGTCCAGCGGCTCGCTGAAGATGACGATCTGCTCGAAGAGGAACACCCGCCGCTCTCGGCAGCGAGGCAGGAGCCCTGCGTCCTGGTCTGTGACCAAGAACGTGTCCTGCAGGAGCAGCTTGCCCTGGGCAACAATTTTACCCTAAAATGAGAACACGGGGCCAAGGAAGAGAAGAAAACATTGAAATCTAAGTGAGGGTACAGGAAGCTGTTTTCATTAGATTCCCTCCCACAAAATCCGATCTATTTCTTCTATTCATTTATAGAGCTTAAAATTTTCTTTCATTATCATGAGACCTTAGCCCCAAAGAGAAAGGTTATCTAGATAAAACTCTTGCCAACGTCTGCATAAGCCCCTGGCCTCCGTTACAGTCACAGAACGTGGGCCTCAAGTGTCCAGCTCCCTGAAATAGAGGTCACTAAGGCACGGTCCCCGCACCTGGGGCACCAGCGTCCGTGCCGCCGGTGCCCACGCAGGCCCAGGGAGCGATGCATGCAGCGTGCTCTCAGAAGGCTCTGCATGTGCCTTTTTGAGAACCACAGCAAAAGAACTTTAAGGCCAAATCTCGAGCAAAACAGTAGGTCAGAAAAATGTTCCCTCTCCTTACTCAACACATTTTAAAAAGCTGCTGGTTCTGAACTACCTTGAGGATGCTAACAGGTCATATGTAATGTGAGTCACCCGGCAGCGCAGAGGAAAGTCTATCAGACTAAGACGGGACCCTGGGGCCAAGCTCTGGATGATGGACCAGCAGGCCTCCGCCTCCCCGCTCCTGTCGGGAGGGAAACTCCGCTCTACAGAGCAGAGTCCTGCCTGTTTCCCG